GGAGTGGGAGAGGGAGAAGCAGGCTTCCTGCTGAGCAGGGATCCCAGTTTGGGGCTTGATCCCAGGGCTCTGGGATCATGATCGGAGCCGAAGGCAGACGTGCAAGACTGAGCCACCCAGGCACCCCTATAGTTTTAAGTCTTATGTTTAGGCCTTTAAATGGTGTTGAGTTGACTTTTGTATGTGACCATTGAATGGTCTCGGCACCCTGGTCAAATGTCATTTGACCGTATACATCGGGATTTATTACCGGGTCTCTACTCTGTTTTACAGGCCTGTTTGTCTGTCTTCACGCCAGTACTGCGCTGTCTTGGTTCCTGCAGCTTTGGAACATGTTTGGAAATCGGAAGTGTGACTCCTCCAACTTTGTGCTTCCTGTTCAGAATTGTTTTGGCTATTTGGGGTCCCTTGAGATTCCATATGAATTTTTGGATGAGTTTTTCTATTTTGAGTAGTTTTTTTTTTTTTAAGATTTCATTTATTATTTGTTAGAGAGAGAGAGGGAGGGAGCACAGCAGGGGGAGCGGCAGGAAGAGGGAGAGGGGGAAGTAGGCTCCCTGCTGAGCAGGGAGCCCAATGCAGGATTCGATCCCAGGACCCAGGGGTCATGACCTGAGCCTAAGGCAGACGCTTAACCCACTGAGCCCCCCAGACGTCCGTTGAGTTAGTTTTGATAAACAGTATTTTCTTAGGAGCATGCGCATTTCATCACAGTTTACATTTATTAGCCTACAGTCTTTTGGTCTTATTTGATTATTACAAAATTCGGTAGGTCAAAAGGTGGGTGAAACTGCTTAATAGTCAGTTATTTTGAGCTAGAAAAATGGCAGGTTCATTTTATTCAACCACATGCATCCACAAGAGCACACAACAGTCCCACAAATTGTCTAGGTTTGGGTGCACTGCACCTGTGTCCCCGCCGTAGGCGGGGCGGCCACACTCCAGAGCCTCCGGGGCCTCTGTGTTCCCTCCTCCCCCATCAACAGAGGCCACTCTACCCTTTCCTTGTTTTTCTTTATACTTTTACCAAATAGGCATTGTCCCTAAACAACACTAGTTTTGCATCTTTTGAACTTCGTATAAATAGAGTCATACCAGATGTGTGTTTCTCTAACTTGCTGCTTTAGTTCCGCATTGTGTACTTGACCCACTCTTACTGTGGAGAGATTGCTCCGGCAGCCCGGGTACAAAAATCGGAATGATACAGGGGAGATGGCCTGTTTCTAGGTTTGGTGTATTGTAAATAATGCTGGCATGAACTATTTGTGCTCGTGATCTGGTTTATTTGTAAAAGACCTTCTCTAGGATGTGCCCAGGAGTGACACTGTTAGGTTGTAAACATGTACATCTCCGACTCTACTAGATAATGCCAAATTGTGTTCCAAAGTGGTGATACCAGTTTCCAGAGCGGTGCCCCCCCCCACAATGTACTGCTTTCTGCGACTCCGTATCACTGCCGATACTCGGGATTGTCAGACTTTTTCATCTCTGCCGATCAGTGGGAATAAAAGGACATTTCACCACGACTTGATTTGCATTTCCTCAGACCTTTTTTTTTCTTTGAAGATTTCTTTGTTAAATATAGAAAGCGACAGAGAGAAAGGGGCAGAGGGAGAGGGAGCAGCTTAAGCAGACTCTGCACTGGGCGTGGGACCCGACACGGGGCTCAATCCCACGACCCTGAGATCACAACCTGAGCCAGAATCAGGAGTCGGACGGTTGACCGACTGCGCCGCCCAGGCGTCCCCGCATTTCCACAGGCTTTTCTGTTCTCACTTGATGGAGAGTACAGTCTGGTCTTCTGCAAGACGTGGGACAAGATGTGAACATCTAGCAGCTTCTGTGTGTGTGTGTGTGTGTGTGTGTGTGTGTGTGTGTGTGTGATCTAGCAGCTTCTTGATCAGATTTTCAATTAATTCTCCTGTCCGCCCACCACTGCCAGACATACATATTTTCTTCTGAGGTACCTGGTGCTTCCAGCTCTGGTGCAAGCCAGCCCCAGGTCCCGGCCGCTTCCTCCCTGCTCTGGTCTCCTACATCACTTGTTACTCTTCCACCCATTTTCCAGCTTCTAAAACATTCTCTTAGAAGCAAGGACTACACGGGTGTTTGAGCTCCCCTGCCTCACACAGAGCCTCCCATTGTACTTGACTCGGCGGCTGCCCCTGTGGCTATCCCCCTCTTCTTCCTACCATCGCTTAGTTGCACATTCTCTCCTTTCATTCCTGCCAGAAACTGGTTTATTTTCTTAATTTCAGAGAACAAACATTTGGCTTTATTAATCTTTTTTTTCCATTTAATTAATTTCCTGCTCTGTGATTTGCCTTTTTTCTACTTTCTCTGTTTATTCTGCTGTGGGTTTTCAAACTTCCTGAGTTGGTGCTTGTCTTATTCTTTTTAAAGCTATACATTTCCTCCTAAGCACTGCTTGAGCTCCATCCTATATGGTTTTTTTAAAAAAAGATTTTATTTATTTGAGAGAGAGAAGAACGAGGGGGACAGCATGAGTTGGGGGGCAGAGAGACAGGGAGAAGCAGGCTCCCTGTTGAGCAAGGAGTCTGATGTGGGGCTCGATCCCAAGACCCTGGGATCATGACCTGAGCCGAAGGCAGATGCTTCACTGAGTGAGCCCCCCAGGCGCCCCTATTCATTTTCATATGGGGTGTTTTCGTTACTGTTCAGCTTTGTTGTTAGATTTTCATTATAATTCCTCTTGCACCAGTCACTTATTTGGAAGTGTATTTTAAAATTTACATTTGTATGTTAAAACTTCCAAACATACAAGATGACTTAATTTTAGTTAAAATTCGGATTTTTTTCTATCACAGTTTGAGAACATGTTTTGTACAATACCCATTCTTTTAGTATTTGTTGAGATTTGTTCCATGGCCTGGGACACGGTGAGTTTTACTAAATGCTCAAGGTTAACTTGCAAAGAACGTGTGGACTCTAGTGCGGGGATGTCCGGTGATCAAGCTTGTTCTGTTTTTCCTGTAGTGAGAAGTGGTGTCACTAATTGCGGCAAATGTACTAATGAATTTTTCTTTTTACTGCTACTTTTTTGTTTGACACACATTTAAGGTTCTACCATTAGGCGGGTGCACACATGTTAACGGTTAATGCTTTCAAATGAATTATTTCTTTAATCGTTATGCAGTGACCTCTTTTATTCCTAATAATGATTTGTGCCCTGAGGTCTACTTCGTCCGAGGTTAATTTCTCTCCACTAACTTCCTTGTGGACAGTATCTGCCAGCTGTGTCTTTCCATCTGTATCACTTACAGTGTGGTGGCAGACCACAGAACCCTTCTAACTATGTAAGTTAAAAAAAAAAAAAGGATTTATTATCAGGTAAGAACGACATCAACAATCTTGGGAAGAAAAGAAGGAACAGCTCCTAGCCCTTTGAATTCGCCACCTCTCCAGGAATCAAAACGAAATCCTAACCCCCGAATTCAAGTAAAATGTAGGCTACTGTCTTTCCCCCCGGATGGAACACCGGGCACGTCCTCCCCAGGTTGTCTCCTTGTGACTTCAACCACCACCGGCCCCTCCTCCAGCTAACGCTGCCATTGCCCACCTGGCCACCTAAGCCAGAGCCCGAGGGTCAACTTGACTATCCCTCTCCATTTCCCCCGAGTCTGATCCCCTTCCCACACCTCCTTTCTTTTTGTCTCTAATATGCCTGGGATTTCAAGCCTCAGCACACCTTGCCTGGGCTGCCTTAAGTGGTTGTTCTCTTGTCTGCGTGTCTATAGCCTATCCTCTCTCTGTGTGTATCATCTATTATCTAGCAATCATGTGTCATCTAGCTATCATCAATCAATCACTCAATCAATGTACCCGTCATCGATTATCTATAGCTCTATTTTTTTGAGGTGAAATTCACATAACATGAAATTAACCCTTTTAAAGGGCACAATTTGGTGACATTTACTACATTCCCAGTGTTGTGTGACCATCACCTCTACAGTTCCAGCCCGTGGCAACAAGTGCTCTGCTTTACGTCTGTATAGATTTGCCTATTCTGGATGTTTCCTCCCAGGGAAGTCGGTGTGTGTGGCCTTCCTTCCCTGTCTGGGTTCTTTCACTCAGTGTCACATTCTTACAGTTCCTCCAGCTTTGTAGCAGGGGTCAGAACCTCACTCTTTTTTTTAGCCGAATGGCATTCCGTTGTATAGAGACCACATCTGGTTTCTCCATTCATGCTGATGGACTTCTGGGTTGTTTTTGCTTTTTGATTACCACCAATAGCCCCGCTACGAACATTCACATCTAAGTTTTTGATTGAACACCTGTTTTCAGTTTTCTTGGGTTTAAGCCTAGGAGTGGAGTGCTGGGTCCTGTGGGGACCGCGCGCTTAGCTTTCACAGTGGCTGCTCTGTCTCCCTTCCCACCAGCAGCCGACTGAGGACCAAACTGTGCGCTCTTGCCTCCCTCCAAACCCTCCTCCACACCGGCGGCCACAGGCATGACTGCGTGCTGTTTCCATCCTGCCCGACATCCTTCGGCGGCTTCTCCTTGCCTCTGAAGTCAGTCCTGGCTCCCTGGCACAGCTCCAGCCCTTCCCTTCCTCTGCCTTCTGCACCACACTGATGACTCGTGTCTCGCTCCTGATGGGCCCCTAGGCTTTTGTGCCAGCAGTCCCTCTTCCAAGAAGGTCTACAACTCCTTCTTCCCTGCTTCCCTTTGCCCCATGGGGTTGGGACTCCTGCTCCTCTGGGCCTGTCCCCCAGCCCACTCTGCTGCTCACCCCACGGCGGCTCTCCACAGGCAGGGACTGGGCCCGGGAGTGGTCCCGAGTCCTAACTGCACTCAGCCAAGGTTTTCGTGAAATGTTGTTAAATCTGCCTTCCCACTGTGGGCTGGAGAATATGCTGAGTTGTCTTTGGGTGGGGTTAGGGGCTGAGGTTGCTCCTTCCACCCCAGGCCACCTGCTGCCCCTCCCCATCTCTCCCCCCAGCCCCACCAGACAAGAGGCTAGGAGGCAGGACTGCACTTTCCACAGGAGGCTTTTACTGAGGGATCGAGGGCTGAGGACCTGGAAAGGCACATGCGGTGGCTGTGGTGGGGTCTCCCTCGTGGGTGGGGGCTGGCTTTGCAGAGACAGCTCCCCTGGCTGACCCCTCTTTGGCACTGAGCTGGGCACACGGGTGCCCTCATGCCCGGCAGCCCCAGCACCCGTTTCCCCCTCTGGTGGACCTGTACCTCTCCCCACCCCACGGAGGCGGCTGGCAGTGTAGGCTGGCGGGGCCACAGGCTGCCAGGGATTGGCTCAAGGGCGAGGCCGCCTGTGGGAGGACCAGGGCCCAGGCCGCCTCTCCCTTGCTGGCAGGGTGCTCGTATTGGCCATCGAGATGGCTCCAAGCAGGAACCGAATAAATTAGCTTGTGGAAGGAGAGAAGGCTAGGGGCCAAGATGGGCAGGGGCTACATTCTTACCATGGCTCGCTAAGAAATGCTGTGCCGCCCTTTCTCCCGCGGGCTCCTGGAGACAACCGGCGGGAAGAGGGGCACGCAAGCGGCCTGCCTGCAGGCCATGCCTGGCCGTTTCCACAGTGGGAAGGGGGTCCCACAGGGTGGGAGCCTTGGTGGGCCGCTTGGGTGGTAGCCACGTGGGGTCTCCAGGGACTGAAGGGAATAAGGGGGACTACGGCGTCAGGACAGCGGAGCCCCCCATGCAAGGCTCCACACAGACTGGGCTGGGGGGCTCCACTCCACCCCTCGCCCCTCCTGGAAGAGAAGAAAGGACCACCTGCCCCACCCAGGGAAGCCCCCCCTGCCCCCCGAGAGGCACGTGGTTTTGCTGGCAGTCCTCTAGGCAGGGCAGGCTCACCGCCAGAAGGCCTGAGAGGGAAAGGCATGCAGGGTAGGCCTGCGGCAGTGCCGTGCCGGGCGCGGGGGTGGGCGGGCGAGTGAGGCCGTTTCCTTCATGTGATCCCAGGGCTCAAGGGAGAGGAGCACCCTGGAGGACTCTAGGGCCTTGGCCCAGGATCTGGCAGAGCTCCTGGAGGCGCCGCTGCATCTTGGGAACGCCCGCCAGCTGCTGCTCAAGCCGCTGCTTCTCCTCAGTCAGGCTCAGGCGAGCAGCAGAGTCCAGCTTCTCGAACTTCCAGCCACCCTCCCCGTCAAACTGCAGCAAGTGCGTGTGGTACTTCCTGAGCCGGGGGTGGAGGAGCGGAGGCTGCTCAGATGGAGACCTGGAGACTCAGCCCGGCCTCCCCCTACTCCCTCCACGCCCCAGCCGCCCAGCAGGTGGGGTGCTCCCTCCTCTCAACTCCGGGTGGGAAGGGAGGGCACCTACCATAGGGAGGGCCGGTGGGTGATGGAGAGCAGGGCAATGCCGGCATCCTTGGCCGCCTGGAAGATCTTGCCTTCTACGTCAATGCTCACGGCGCTGGTGCACTCATCCAGGAGGGCGTACTTGGGCCTGGGTGCATGTGGGGAGCAAAGGCGCTAGGGTCGTGTACCCTCCTTCACAGAAGCCTTGGCCCCCCCCCCCCCCCCCGCCCACTGTGCGAATCCCGATCTGCGCAGTGATTCTGCTTTTTGTGCCCAGTGCTGGCTGGGCCCAAGCCAGGGTGAGGCCCCCTAAGGGCCATAGGGCACCTGGCTGTCCCACTCGGCTTCCTGGGAGCCCCCAGCTCACCTGTGGTAGAACATGCGGGCCATGCCGATTCTCTGCTTCTCCCCCCCTGACAGCACGTCCTTCCAGTCGCACTCGGCCTCCCAACCTAGGCAGGGGCAAAGGGCTTCGGTGGGCTTCAGCAAGGGCTGCGGCTGCACCTGCACAGGGCCCAGACCCAGGGCCAGCAGGAGGGCCCAAAGAGACCAGTGAGAATGGGACACGGGGGCCTATGGGACCCTGGAGAAGGCTGGGTCCATGCACCCTGGACACTTATCTATCTGGAGGTGATCTTGATCTTGACTTGTGAGCAGAATTGTGGCCCCTCCAAAAAAAGACACATGGGCATCCTGAGGCCTGGGACCACAGAACATAGCCTTACTTGCACACACGGGCTTTACAGAAGGGACAGTTGTCACGAGGTCATGAGGGGGTCCCCGTCCCCCAGGACCATGTCCCCACTTAAAGGGGAAAACTGGAAACAGACACGCACAGAGGGAAGGCCACAGGAAGACACAGGGAGAAGACAGCCAGGCCTGGGATGGCTCCATCCCCCACGGCCCTCAGAGGGGACTGGCCCTGCTGACTCCTCACACGGGGACGCAGCACGCTTCAGGTGGCTGAGCTGCTCACTACCCTGCTGCAGCAGCCCCACAGATGCTTGCCAGACCTGAGAGCCAGCCAGTGCGTCCATCCACGGGAAGCGGCGGGTGTGGCAGAGCCCCAGGGATGGCTGATGGGGTCTCCCCAGAAGGCTTCTCACCCGCAGGGACCAGGTGTTTGTGTCACGGCTTGGTCTGAGCAGAGATGACTCCTTGTGTCTTACCTCCAGTCTGTCTTCCCACGGAACTGGAAGTTCCCCACAAAAAAGGCTCTACGCTGTAGCTTGTCTTGAGGTGAGGTGTCACCATGGAACCGAATTCTGGCCAATACGGTTTAAGTATGTTACACATGCGCCAGCTTCTGGAACTTTCTTCAAAAGACAGATGGCAGGTACCCTTGGCCTTTCCCCCTTTCTCCATCCCATGGCCTGGGATGTGATGTGACAGCCCAAGGAGCCATCTTAGATCATGAGGTGACTTCGGGAAAGAAGGCCACAGAGAGCTGAGCAACCTGAGGGGCCTTCACAGAGCTGGGCTGCCTCCGTCGATTGTCGCCTGCTTTCCTCACGACTTCGATGTCACAGGAAGATAAACTCGTGAATGATTTGAGCCAGTGTTGGGGGGAAGGGGTTCTGTTACTCCCAGCTGAACTCAGTGCTAACAGGCACTCAGGGTGCCCGTGAAGACAGGCGTTGGTGGGGGTGTGCGCTCCTGGGCTCAGGGTGCCTGGTCAAGCGTCCCCTAGTGATGGAGGCAGGAAGCTGAACCCTGCTTTTCAGATCTCACTAAAAAAATTGAGTGCAGCCCCACCTTGGTTCCCCCCTGCACCGGGGCTGCCCTCCACTCCTCCCCCATTCTGGGCACAGCAAGCATTTGTGGACACAGCTGACAAGCCCTGACCAATGCCTTCTCTTGCTACCAGCCTGTCCCTCCAGTCCTGCAGTCTCCTTCCCAGGGGATGGCACCTCCCAGGCTCAAGCCAGAAACCCAAGCGTCCCCTCCGGCTCTCTCCTGCCTCCTGTGTTAGAGGTCCTCTGCACACACACCCTGGGCTCACCTTCTCCGCAGCTGACTGGCTCACGCCAGGGTCTGTCCTCTTGCTAAAATGTGACACCAACCCGTCACTTCCCTGCCTAGAGCCTTCCAAAGGCTTCCTTCACGGTCAGGGAAAGCCAGGGCTCCCCGCCTGGCCCACAGGGCCCTCCCAGCCACTGAGTCCGAGCCTGGAGAGGGCGTCCAGAGCGGAAAGTGAGCACCCACCCCGTCCCCTGCTGGATGCCTCCTGCTGTGCCAGGCCTGCCTTGTCCAGTGAGCTCTGGGGCACCCTAATGCGTGGCGCTTTCCAGGGCGCCTAGCTCTCTGGACTCCTGGATGTTGGAGTTCTCTTCATCCCTCGGGGACCAAGAGGGAGGCAGGGGTGGGGGTGGCAGCAGGCTCCCCAGCAGTCTCGGAACAGAAGGCAACCGATGGACGGCTCCCTCCCTGGCGCTGACCAGTGACATGGGCCACGTCCTCCCCTACCTCCTTCCCGCTGCAGGATGTGGTTCAGGTGCACAATGTCCAGGATGGCTTCCAGGTGCCGCTCTGAATAGCCTTTCCTTTGCATGTCCTCCACAGAGTCTGGGTAGATGACCTGGTCCCGCAAGGAGCCCACGGGCATGTAGGGCCTGCGGGTGCACCGCCCGTCAGGACAGGGCAGGCCTGGCCCTGCCTCCCGACCCCTTGCGCCTGGGTGGGCTCGGTTATGGCCCGGGAGCTGGGCGTGGGGTGTGCTCAAGGCCCGCCGATCCCCGCCACCGGCCCCCCTGCACACACAACACGCAGTGCGCACACGCTACGCCCCCCACCCCCCGCACGTATGGGTGCATGTACACCTCAGACACGCTTACGCACGTGCACCAACACACACCCACACCGCTCCACCGCGGGTGCATGCGCACCACACCGCCTTTCTGCGTGCACACGCACCACACGGGCAAGTAGGGCCACGGCTCGGGGGCAGGGGGAGGCTGCGTGGCCCCTCGGGCTCTGGCGGGGGCAGGTGCCCCACGTGGGAAGGGGTAGAGGCCGGGCTCCCCTCCTCCCCTCACCTCTGGGGGATGTAGAACATGCGTTGCGGTGGGGGCTTGTAGAGCACGCCGCCATACGTGGGCCAGAGGCCGCCAAGGATCCGGAAGAGAGAGCTCTTGCCGCAGCCGTTGGGGCCGGTGATGAGCAGGTGCATGCCCTCTTCCACCTGCGGGGCAGCGGCAGCCGCGCTGGTACCTGGGGGGCCACGCCCACCTCCCTTCTCTCCGCTGTGCCCCATGCTGGGGTCCACGCCCGGCAGCCAGTGAGGGACAGTGGGGCCTGAAGGACGAGGTCCAGGAGCCAGGGCCCTAACCACACACCTGTTCTGGGTCCAGGCCTGGCCCCCCAGCCCCTGACACGCACCACAGAGCATGGGGCCAGCATGAGGAAGGCCCCAGAGAGCCAGTGTCACCCTCTTTCCCTGACGTCCTGCCTCTCTTGGACTAACCGGGACAGTTCCCGTGTCTTTACTTCCCCAACAGAGCTGCTTTCCCTTGAGGAACTGTCCTGGGAAAGGTGTTTTCTTTTGGGTTCTAGCGGGACAGAAGAAACCTCCAACTCTGTCCCTAATGCCCTGCCAATCCTGCTGCCCCTGTAGGCCTCACTGTCCCTGCGGGTGCTAGGGCACTGGGCAGATGCTTCTGGGACCCCGGGGTTCAGCAACAAGCCGCTCAGGCTCCCCAGTTAGCCCATTACGTGGTACCTGCTGGTCTTATGGAAATGCCTGCTGGGGGAAAGAGGCCAGCTGAGCTGGGGGTGGGGGTGTGCAGAAAGGAGGGGGTCAGATGGAAGGACCCCTGGGGCCCAGCCCCTGCCCCCTCATTGCCATGTTGAGCTCTGCTCTCTCACAGTGTGACCTAGCAGGGACACTGCCGTGCAGTCCCCAAGAGGTCTGAGTGAGACCATGTTATGGATGGAGCGGTGCCCCCCGGGACGCACATTGGAGTCTTAATCCCCAAGACCTGAGAATGTGATCTTATTTAGAAAAAGAGACTTTGCAAATATAATTAGTTAAATTTAGATGAGGTCAGCCTGGAGTGGGGGGGGGGGCCCGTAATCCAGCGTGACTGGCATCCTTAGTAAAAGGGATCATTTGGACCCAGAGACATGCACACGGGGGGAAGGCCATGTGAGGAGGAGGGCAGAGCTCGACACGAGGCTTCTGGAAGTCCAGAACCCCACTGATGGCCAGTAAAGCACCCAAACTGGGGCAGGCCTGGAGCAGACCCTTCCGCAGCGCCCCGATCTGGCCTCTGGCCTTAACCCGGAGAGAAGCCACTCCTGTTGCCCCAGCCCCTCCCTTCGTGGTCCTGTTAGACCATAAATGCCCTCACAGGTCCGGGGGTGGGGAGGCTGGGCCTCCCTCCTCCATGATCCATGTGCAAGGGCCAGTGTGTCAGGCCTGGCTCTCCCCCAGTCAGCACCCTGGCAGCCTCCCTGGGCTCCTTCCCTGTGCCTCTCCCTCTTCTGCCATCCTTCTTGCCTCACTGCCTGGGAACTGCTCCTCCCAGCCCCAGAGCCTGGCTTCCACCTCGCCTCCCACCCCCGCTCTTGTCCCAGTCACCCCTCCCCACCTGGCCTTGCTCCCTCGCCAGCTGCCACTGGGCCTGCAGGGGCAGTCGTTTGCCTTGGAAAAACCCGGCATTTGTGGCTCCCTGCCACACCCCAAGAGTGACCACGGCCAGGGACAACAGGGATGATACCACTGTCCCGTGCTGCTTGGGATAACGAAATGTGCCTCGCCTCCAAATGGCTCTCAGGGCCCCTCTCAGCAGATCAAGGAAAGGAGCCTCCACTAGCACTACCAGGCCCAGACCCCCCACCTGCCTCTTCCCTGTAACTCCCTGCCCAGCAGTGACTCCAAGTGACCCACCCGGCTCTGCAGCCAGGAACATGACGCCCCAAGGTCCCCCAGCTCCACGCTCCTGCCCCTTCAGTGCCTGTCGTCTGCCTGTCCACTGGGAGAGGCCCTCTTCCTCCTGCTGCCCATCCACCCTGAGGCTCCTGGGGTAAGCTTCAGGTGACCTCTACTCACCTCACACACAGGACCACCCTTCCCATGGCCCCCACAGGATCCTGGGCAGCTAACTGGGGACATCTGCAATACTTGAGGTGACCCAGTGTGGGGCCTTCCTGAGGGCAGTACCCCTCCAGCTTATCTCTGGTTCCCAGGGCCCCGCCTGGGGATGAATGTATGACTCCATCTCGTTTTGGCACTGACCCCACACCCACAGGTCTCGCCTTCATTCTCCCACTCCCTGATCCTGTCTGAAGCTCTGGCTCAGGACCCAGGTGATTGGTGGGGGTGGCCACTAGGACTTGCTTTTCACAGACGGCCTCTGCAGAGGCTGAGGGCCCTCCCAAGGGCCAGGCGCACCCAGCACACACCTATCCTGGGGGCTTCTTGAAGCAGATGGGTGGGACCTTAAGCTCAGGTCACTGGAGTTGAAACCGAGTCCCCAAGTCCTGGGCTTCTCAGGGATTGGGGTGGGGGGTGGCAATGATGGAGCCAGGGCCAGGAGCCCTTGGGTGACCTTTGGCCACTCCTGGTAATTGCCACTTTCATGACTGCACTGCGACAGAACCCACAGTCAGAGCCGGGTTGACTCTTGACCTACCCTGATGTTGAGGCTGGCCACCACCACCTCTCCCGTGGGTGTGATGATGGGGATGTTCTCACAAATAATTCCTTGTTCCACGTCTACCACTTGGCCTGGAGAGAGAATGCAATGGACGAATGGAGGGAGCAGCAGCGCCCCCTGCCTTCTTGTGGGTTCCACGCGCCCCCACCCCACCCGCGCGTGGGTCCGGGGCTCCCCGGGAATATGGTGGGGCTTCCATGAGACTATCCCTGAACGGTGTCTGGTGCCGTGCTCGGGTCGGGGGAGGGGAGGGGCAATGTCAACGTCCGCCCTTGCTCTGTAAAACCCTCTGTTCCTGGCACTCCTGTAATGGAGGCTTGGATGCCTGGGCCCCTCTTCCACAGCACCCTGGCCCCTGCTGTGGTCTGGAAGTTTCCGTTGCTGCCCATACTGGAGAGTGAGCCCCTCTACTCAGGGACTTCATCTCTTTCTTTAGTGCCCTTACCTCGGATCTGCAGGGGCCCCTCTATGCGGGCTCCGGGCTTCGCCACAGCCCCGGGCCCCGCCTGAGTGTCCTCCAGCTCCCCGGGCCTCTTGAAACGGCAGTGCTGGACATCTTCAAACACCTGGAACATCTCATGTACTCGGGCTGTGTAGCCCGCCAGCTCCGTCACCTGCGGGCAGGGTGACCTCAGCTCAGATGGCGCCAGCTAGGGTACAGGGGGCAGGCACGGCGGGAGGGGGTGGCGCTGAGCTGGGGGGGGCTTACCTCCTTGTAGGATGACATGATCCGCTCGATGGCATCTGCAGCAGCTGTGAGGAGGTTGCGGGCGATGGTGAAGGCTTCTGTGCGCTCGCTCACGAGCTCCTCCTCCTTCATCTGCAAGGCCGCCTTCTTCACTGCCTCGGGATCTGCGGAGCGCAGTGGGAAGGAGGGGGCAGTGGAAGATCAAATCGGACTCACGAGGGGAAGGGAGAGTCTCTCTGGCAGACAGTGCTGGGACAGCTGGGCATCCGGTTGCAGAAGATACCCTACCTCACACCACCTACAAAAACTAACTTTCGTGAGAGCTTAGACTAGAAAACTCTGGGAAAAGAGCAGCTGTAAGTCTTTCTGAGCTGGGATTATGTATGGCTCCTTAGATACGACACCGAAGGCACAGGCAACAAAAGAAAAACAGTAAATGAGCTCCACCAAAATTACAACTTTTTAGGCACCCAAGGGAACCATGCAAAAAGCAGAAAGACAACCTACAGGTTGGGAGAAAACACCTGCAAATCACATGTCCAATAAGGGTCTCATATCCAGAATATGTAAAAAAAACTTTCCCCCTTTAACAACAAAGAAAACCCAAGGAAACCATGGGCAAAGGATCTGAAGAGAAAATTCTACGGTATTTCCTAGATCTCCAAGTGGCCAGCAAGCACATGAAAAGGCGCTCAACATTTTTGGTCATCAGGGAAACATAAATCCAAACCACAATGAGCTACTACTTCTTCCCGCCCACGAGGATGGCTGGTGGGGTATTGCAGAATGGTGCAGCCCATGTGGACACCAGTCTGCCGGTTCCTCAGAAAGTTCCACAAAGAGTTACCATGGGCCCCAGCCGTTCTGTTCCTGGGACCGCATCCGTGAGAAACAAAAAATGCATGTTCACACGAAAACCTGTACACAAATGATCACGGCAGCACGATTCATCACTATCCAAACACGTAAATGGCCCAAGTGTCCATCAGTGGATGGACAGCTCAGGAACTGTGGTGCGTGTGGATAATTTGGCTGTGAAAGGCATTAAAGGGCCGATTCAACCTACAACATGAATGACCCTTGAAAATGTGATGCTGAGTGAGAGAAGGCCGGCACCGAAGGCTGCAGATTGCGTGATTCCATTCACGGGAAGGGCTCACAAGGGGCTGATCCTCAGCAACAGAAAGAAGAGTGGGGGCTGGGGGCTGGGGAGTGCTGGGGAGGGAGTGACCGCTATTCTTTTTGGGGTGACGACGATGTTTTGGACTTAGTGGTGATGGTCGTACAATTTCACTGATATGTTAAAAACCACTTAATTATACACTTTAAAAGTCTCAGTTGTATGGGATGTTAATTACATCTCAATGATCTGGATGAGAAAATGACCCACGAGGCAGCGGGCTTTCTTTTCCGGCGCGACCAGCTCCTTTCCCCTAAACTGCCCTCGCTCAGTGCCCTCTACTAATGATGGCAGCGCCTCTCGGGGCCACACCTGCACCTCACCGTGCAATGCCCAGAGCTGTTGGACCCCTGACACTTTCCAACATGAATGTCCCTTTTGGACCTCCAGTGCTACCCCCATTTCTCCCTCACCTCATCCCTTGACACTGTATTCTGTGGCCTCTCTGAGATCGGCCATCCCTGATGCCCCTGTTTCTCCGAGGGAGCCTTTTTCTCTCTCCTGACCTCCTTTTCTGTTTCAGTCTAGACCCTGTGGCTGCTCACTTCAGTCATCTTCTGTCAGTGGTTTTAACTCCCATGACCCTTAGAGTTCCCAGGAAGGCAGGGCTTTTACACAAGGAATGTTCTGGAAAAGGTGATGGGGAGCAAGGGGGCGGCGGACTCTGAAGGTCCTGAGGTGTGGGAGAGTGAGCAGTGCCCACTGGGGTACTCGGGGGAAGCTGAGCCTTCTGGGGCCAAAGCGGTAGGAAGGAAGGTCCCGTGAAAGGCGCAAGGACTCTCTCCAGGGGCCTATGTCACTTCGAGGTGGAAGCCTTAGGGATATGACGGCAGGGGTGGGGTGGGAAGGGGCAGGAAGCCAGCTTGGGGCAGATGGCTTCCAGGGCAGTACCCAGTGGAAAAGGCATGGGATGGACGGCCTGACTGCCTTGCATTGCCTTTTCTTGGGCCTGGCCCAGGAATCCCCAAAACAGGACAGGGTGGCAGGGGCGGGGGGTGGTGACTAATCCTGGCGGTCTATAGTCTTGGGCCTGCCCTTCCACCATGCCCCCAGGGACATAGCCCCCAACAGGCAGGGGAGGCATAAGCTATCCTCCCTGGATGTCCTAAAAGCCTGACAGTGGATACACACAAAGGGAAAGGGTTTGCAGTTGTTGGGGGCATGCTGGCACCAGCCGGCACCCCCTGGAGACAGAACTCATTACCCTCTGTAGGTTCCCTCGGAGGCTCAGGCAGCCAAGACCAGTGCCTGGAGGCAGAACACCAGGCAGCTGGTCACAGCAAGGCCGTCCTTCCTCTGGGCCTTCCAGCCTTGCAGCTCTAGCAGGCCAGAAGGGCAAAGGGACCTAAATTTTCCCCAGTTGGTAAGTGTCTGCCTCCTCCCATAGGTCCCCAGGGCTTTCAGCTTCCTCGAAGCACCCACAGCCCTCACTAGCCTCCAGGTACCGGGGATATAGCAAGGACAAAACAAACAAAAATCCCTGCCTCCACTGAGCACAGCAGCCCAAAGTGGCAGAGCGACAAGAGACGAAATGGGGAAGTGGACTAGATGGGGCGTTGGGTGTTGGGAGAGCAGTGAGGCGGGGACGGGGAAGAGGATGGCGGGGGGCGGTGGTCTCATCAGAGGAAAGAACATTCCCGGCAAAGCGAGCAGCACTTGCTAAGGCCCAGGGGCAGAAGCCTTGCTTCAGGGGAAGAGCAAGGAGGCCAGTAAGACGGTAGAGTGAGCAAGGCAGGCAGGAGTGTTTCACATTTTCACAGTAACTAACTATAAAGGGCCACGAGGCCAGGGACAAGCACTCATGCTTCTTTGAATTGCCCACAAAGTCTGGTGGAGCAGAGGGTCCAGAAAGTCCTAGGCTTTCACAGGAGGGAGAGGCCTTGGGGACTAGATGGGCTCCAAGGCCAGCTATGGAGGAAAGTGGTAGCAGGTGAGTTTTGTCGTGGGTGGATTTGCACGCTCCAGGCCAGGGGTGCCGACTGGGTCTGGTACATGGGCCTAAGTCAAGGCCACCCTTTATGAAAGCCTTTTGCGGTGGAAAGTAATAAGCCCCCTCCAATTAGATCCTTCCCCTTGGGGACACCCAGAGAAGGACAGCCAACGGTACAGAAGCCCCAAGGTAGAGACACAAATAGGGAGAGACTCATATGTAGTCGAAAACCCTCTTGCTGAGCGCCTGGGTGGCTCAGTCAGTTAAGCGTCTGCCTTTGGCTCGGGTCATGATCCTGGGGGCCTGGGATTGAGCCCTGCACTGGGCTCCTTGCTCAGCGGGGAGCCTGCTTCCCCCCTTCCTCTGCTGCCCCCCACTTGTGTGCGCCGTGTGCGCTCTCTCCCTCTCTCTCTCAAATAAGTCTTACAAAATAGAAAACCCCCTTACTACCAAATTGCATAGAATATAACACCTTTAGTTTTGTTATAAAGTAAGCTTTATACCCAACATGGGACTCCCAACTCACAACCTGGAGATCAAGAGTCGCACGTTCCACGAACTGAGCCGGCCAGGGACCCCGAAGTGTAACACCTTTTCAAGCAGAACTGTGCTCCAAGAAAAGTAAGGGAAATTTCAGGAACACAGAGAGAAAGCAGCCATTAGGTACTCCCGTGAAATCTCCAGAGATGGGAGAAGACAGGGAAGTTTCTCTTGTGCTGCCAGCCCTCTAGAAACAAAAGGTCTTCTCTAAGAATCTATAATTATGTGTCTGGAGTTCAAATTAATACCGCCTCCAAGTTCAGGAACCCCTCTTCCCCAAGCTGAGAAGCTAAGGTAAAATGGCCTCCAAGTGGTTAATTACCTGCGCCGGCATGTTTGGCCCCCAACAAAAGCAAATACAGACCACACTGGGGAATGACTCCTCGGGTTAGGCCACTCAGGGTTCCCATGGGAGTCTGGTTGCAAAACCCACAGGGAACCAGTTCACCGTGAGCGAAGAGCAAGCGGACAAAAGATAAAGCCTAGATTCCCAAGAATTCTGATAATCGAATAGTTGGATAGAGAGAGAGACCTCGGAGCGTAAAAAGGAGCAGTCCAAACGATGAGAAAATCAGACACGAAAACAGTTTAAAATTTCTATCTGAAGAGAAAAATGTCTGTTTTCACATTTCTGTGTGAAAGGGAAGCAAATGGAAGCTATAGAAATAGTCACTGAGGGCGCCTGGGTGGCTCAGTGGGTTAAAGCCTCTGCCTTCGGCTCAGGTCATGATCCCAGAGTCCTGGGATCGAGCCCCGCATCGGGCTCTCTGCTCAGCGGAGAGCCTGCTTCCTTCTCTCTCTCTGACTGCCTCTCTGCCTACTTGTGATCTATCTCTCTGTCAAATAAATAAATAAAATCTTTAAAAAAAAAAAAAAGAAATAGTCACTGAAATTTAAAAATTAAAATAAAAACAACAAATCAGATGCAGCTGAAAAGAAAACTCACGGACAAGCGAGCATAAAAGATCAGTGGAGAATTTTCCAGAATGATGGAAAATCTGAACATATGAAGGCCATACAACAAATCTCAAGCAGGACAAACAGAAACTGACTGGCAAACACTTCGTAGGTTAACCGCAGGATGCCAGAGAAGAAAAGTCGAAAAGTGACCAGAGGGACACAGATGCTGATGACAGATTGTCCAACAGAGACAATTATTGAGGGGCTGAGAGAAGGTAACTGAAAAGAGTAAAATAAAAGTGGTTCAGACAACAAAATAGTCTCCAAGTTCCCATGACGAAAAGTCTTGCAGAAAGAACTTCCAGAAGATCTCTATCTGTAAGAAGGTAACTGGGCTATGGAAAAGGACCGGTGAGCCAAGAAATCGGTAACCAGAGGGGTGAATTTAGACACACAGGGACCCGATAAAGCAACTGCCAGGTAATATAAACAACAGGAAAGCGAATTTGACGCTGAGCTCCGCCAGACACTAGCAGGGCTGGTCCCTAGAATTTTCTCAGGGCTAGGTGGGGGAGGAGCTCCACATTAACAGCAACTCTGCCTGAGGACGTGTGTTAACCTTTCAGAAGGCGGCCACAGGAAGACTCCCAGCAGGAGGACGAGACAGGAAGCCCAATGACCCACCAGCCAAAGTGACAAGCAAGGACGCGTGACCCTTGCTGAGCTCGGGATACTGGCTGGGCCTCAGGGCCCCAGCGGAAGGGGCAGGTGGGTGGGCCGGGCTCTGGGGCCCCCCAAGCCCTGCAGTTAGCGACCCGGGGGCGGGGGGGAGGGGACAGGAGAGGGCTCCGCCCCCATGGCAGCCTCAGCTCTCACCTGACTCTGCGTAGCCGGTGGCCGTGATGATAGGCACGGCCACCATGAGCAGGCCCGAGGCGCTCCACACGTACTTCATGAGGAACTGCTCCAGTGTGATGTACCACAGGCGCTCCAGCAGGATGAGGTGAATCTGCGAAGCCAGGCCCTGGTAGGACTGCTGAAGGAGGGCTAGCTCCACCTGTGGGGGCCCGGGGGGGGACAGTGAGAGACCAGGGGGCTTCGTGGTAGCTCCCATGGAGGCCATAAGAAGCTCGAAGCACCACTCATACATGCCATGCTATTGGATGGCCAGGACAAGGTCAAGGGCTGAGGGTTACGACCGGGCCATATTTACAGAGGCCGGCTGTCAAAGTTCGGGACTGCCTGACATCATGGTACCAGGGGACCGTCGTGACGCAGAAGGGACTCACCACAACCACCTCCCGAGATCCACTCCCATCCCTTCCTTCCACTGCACCTCTCTAGTTGGGACACTTACCGTGCCCCTCTCTTTGCCCTGCGGAGCTGACATCCTTGGGCAAATGCTGGGGGTGGGGGGCGGGTACTAGCTTGAGCCAAGCAAAGGGCAGCACTTGCTTTGGCCTCGCCTCCCCAACCTGCTCAAGGTTCCCCTGGATGAGGACCACATGCCGCAATCTCCCACAGAAACCTGGCGGGCAGGCTCCCAAGCTGGCCCTGCCCTTGCCTCTCCATCCCTGCACTGGCCACACCACCCGCGACCTCAGGCTGCCCACGGCTGGGCAAAGGGGCACCCATGGGGTCTGGATGAGGGGGCGCCAAAGGAAATGGAAGGCACACCGGAGGCGCCAGGAACTGGGTCATGGCAAGGTGGCCATTAGGTTGGGGGTTTCTTGGCTCGTTACTTGCGAGGGGGGGGCATGCCCCAGGCCTGCCTCCAACCCCCAGCTGAGCACAGCCGCCCAGCATGGCACCATCTCCTCTGCCAAGTACTTTCACACCTGACTTTCCACTTGACTTTCATCACCTACAACAGTTATGTGTACTCTCATGTCCACTGTACTGGGGACGCCAAAGCCCAAGAGGCAAAGGGACCTGCCCAAGCTCACATCGCTTGGGGGCAGCCAGACGTGTGCAATTTGGACCATGCTGGCAGAGTCATTAGGAGAGAACCTGATTCTCATAAATGATGCTTTGACCTACTTGTTCTCAAACCAGCAAGTTTGTACCTATGTGTGCGCGCGCGTGCGCATGCGAGTAAAATCTGAACGAGCCTCCTCCGCGAGATCTCAATGAGAACAGAACACTGATGTCTGCCCTCCAGCCAGTCACCTCCTCTCTAACCTGTTGAATGGAGCCTGGACTAGTGCCCCTAGAGACATCAGCTGGTGGAAGTGGCGGGAGCCACACGCCTGCAGAGTAAAGGCAATCACGAGGGCCCATCACCCCACACCACTTTCTAGCCCTTAAGCCGAGGTCAAAAGAGACAGGCTGTGGACATACACCGGGGCCCTCCTGGCCCCACTGTCCAGGTCTGGCCCATTGATTGGCTTTGCACTGAAGCCAATCCTGGTTCCTGAATCAAGCACGCCTCCTCTGAGCACCCAGGCAATCCAGGCTCGTGCTGGGAGCTGGCAGGAGTGCCAGCCGGGGCTGATGATGTAGCTGCGGGCGCCTCACCCAAGGCCGTGGCAGTCCGCCAAAGCCCTGCAGTCCGACGTGTGGGAAAGGAGATGGGCTGTAGCTACACACCAGGCGTTTTCTCCTAATCTGGAGCCTGGCCTACACGCGGGATGCCCCCTCTGCAGAGTTTAGGGACAAGCCTTTTTAAAAAAAAAAAAAAAAAAAAAAAAAAAAAAGATCATGGCCTCTGCCCAGTGAGCAGCCAGTGAGACCAGGTCCGGGCACAAAGGCCACCTGAGACAGACAGGACATACAGGCCTTCAGGAGGTGGATACCATCATGCCCCTCCCTCGGGAAGCCCTCGGGAACCGAAACTGGAGTAGCAGAGAGCAGGGCTGGAGGCAGCGGCAACCCCAGGCACGAGGAAGGGGAGGGGCTGAAGCGAGATAAAGGGAGCAGTGGCCCGCAGTAACCTTTCCAGCGCCAGGCTCCCGGCAGGCCTGGCCTGCTGGGGAGCTGCGAGCCTGGAACCCAGGCGGAAGGGCGGCCCTGGGAGGGGGTGCAGGGTGGCTGCTGGGCCGGCAGGAAGTGCGTCCTGCCGCGGTGGCGGCCAGGGCCAGGCATCCCTGGCCGGGGGCCTGTGGAGGAGGCTGAGCAGGTAGCCGGGCTGGCCTGCAGGCTCAGGCAGCGGAGGCTTTGACCTCAAGTACCTCGGGCTGCCACTGTTGTGGCCGCTGCGCTGGGCGCTGCTCGTTAAGCCCCGCTTGGGCTGAGTCACGCCCATAATGCCAGCCTACCTGGCCCACCAGCTTGGCCAGATACCGGCCTTCAAAGGCCCTGGGGGGCCCACATGGGGCCAGGCAGCAGGCCGTGCCCCACTGTCCCTGCTCCCAGGTGGCAGCAGCCTCCTCCCGGCCGGCGGCAGGAGTGGAGCAGGCAGGGAGCTCAGGCATGGGAAACTGCTAGGATCCGCAGCTCTGAGGCCCAGACAACCACCCGGAGATGGAGAGGAAGCAGAAGTGGCCTGGCGGAAGCCGGCAGCCGGCCCAGGGCAGTCCCCACCCAGCCTTCCTGCTTCTCCATTTCTGAGCCCAAATCTGGGCAGCCCCAGGACCTGCCATCCCCAGTCTTCGTCTTCTGTGACCTCCCTGCACGTCTGGCAGGAGCCCCAGCCAGGCCTGGGCTTTGCCCGCTGTCCACGGCTATTTGCCCCCCGCCCCGGGCCCAGTACCCCGACCTGCCCCACCTCGTGGCCCCCATAGAAGGCGATCTCCTCGGAGTTGGCCACCACGCGAGAGTGCATGTAGCGCAGCTCTCCCTTCCTCCGCGCCTCCTCGGCCACCAGCTCGCCAAACTTGGGTGAGAAGGCCCGCAGCACGTTGGCTGTGAGGAACACGACGAGGCCCGCAATGGCTGAGGGCCAGGCTGTGCCGGCCCCGCGGGAACGGGCCGCGCGAAGCAGGGTGTAGGCGGTCACGGCAACATCCAGGAGTGGCTTGGTGAGGTTGGAGTAGAGGTGGGCCACGGAGGCGGCAAAGGCCACCACGTCCTCCGTCAGGGACTGGTCAGGGTTGCGAAGCCGCCCGTCCATGTTGCTGACTCTGTAGTAGGTCTGCTGGGAGAAGTAAAGGCTGTAGGCATGGGCCACTAGACGGCTGCGGAAGGACAGGGCCAGCTGGCCCTCTAGGAACCGGATGGCACTGTTGATGAAGGTGGCGGGGAGGGCGATGAGGAGCCACTGCAGGAGCTGCCAGCCGAAGGCCCGGGGGTCCTTGCGCACGATGCCACGCGCCAGCCGGCCATCCAGGCGGGCCACGTACACGGACAGGAAGGTCCGGCTCACCAGGAAGGCCGAGTGCAGCGCCAACAGCCCCGTCTCTCGGCACAGGGTCCTGGGAAAGAGCAGCCGCAGGAGCCCCAAGAGCCGCTGCAGGAACACCCGGTTCACGCTGGCCTTGGCCGCTGCGGCCCCGGACACCTCCTGTGTGGACTCCCCTGCTGGTACCTGAGGGCCTCTGGTGGCTGCCAGGTACTGCCGCACCAAAGGGTAGACTTTGTGGGCTCCATAGGCCGTGAGGGCCAGGACCAGAGCTGTGCGCTTCAGCGTGCTCACCCGCGAGGACCGGGGGGTGGAGAGGACCGGCATGTCACCTGGGATGGACGCACAGGGCTGGGGCTGGTGCCTGAGGCAGAAGTCGAGGCAGGTGGCTGGAAGGGTTGTTGCTCTGACCCCTGGCTCCTGGTCTAGGCAACTGGAAACCTTGCAGTGGTCCCTGAGATGGTCGCGTTAGGCCACTGGGGCGGTGCTGGGGCCCCCAGTGCGGTGGGCTCAGGACCCTCCAGGGTAGCGGCCTCTCCAGGCAGCCAAAGTGGAGAAACTTGTCAGGCCCCTAGCCCCTGGGGTCAGAGCCTCGAGGGGGGAGGGGGGGTGTCAGCAAAGAGGGAGTCTCTTCCTCTCCACCGCCTCCTCCTCCGCCTCCTCCTCCTCTCCGGGTGGCGCCCCTCCCCGGGGCACCGGGCGCGTCCGTCCGCTCCGGCGCAGCCTGTCTGAAGCCGACAGTGACTCCACCACCCACCCCTTCCCAGGGGCGAGTCGAGGGGAAGGGGAGGAGGCGGAGGAGGGGCGGGAGGCGGAGCCCGGGCGCGGCGAGCCCCACCCCGTTCTCGCCCCACGACTGGGCCCCGCCCCTTCCCCAGACCACTGAGACGTGGGAGGACCGCGCGGGCCAGACAAGCGGGCCCGGGCTTTCCCGCCAAGGCCCCGCCCCTCCTGTCGGCGCGCCGGAGGCGTCACCGCCCAGCCTCTAGGAGCCTCCTCTCCAGTCCTGGGCTTCGGAGCCTCGGCTGGGGGGCGGGGCGAAAAACGGCCGTGGGCGGAGTCGCCGGGGCCTGGGTGCGGTAGGGAGCCGGGAGCGGGGGGCGGGGCGCGGCAGGTGCTTCCGGTTTCCGGCCGTGGGGGGAAGGGGCGGGGCCAGGGCTGCGGTGGGATCATTTGGTGGCGGCGGCAGCGGGGCGTGTGCGTTGGCTGTGGGAAGCTCGGTGAGCGTGCTCGCGCGCCGGGCTGGGCTCTGCGGCCACGTAGGTCGTCCGGGTCTTTGACGGGGGGCAGCGGCGGGTAGTGCGGAGAGGGCCCGGGGCGCGGGGCCGAGGGCCGAGCCGGGAGTACGGGGGCAGGGCTGGGCTGAGGGGAGTCAGGGCGGTGGCTGGAGTTGGGCCCCGGGGGCGTGAGGGCCGGCGACGGGCGGTGGCGAAGCCCCTCGGGAGAGGCCGCCGGGGTGGGGCTCGGGGAGGGCGTGGCGGCCTGGGGCAGCGTCGAAGTGCCGCGCGGGTGGAGCACTGGGGGGACTCGAGCCGGGTGGGCGGCTGTGGCAGACCAGGGCTGTCGGCAGGGGCTCCTCTGGCTTCCGGAAAGACCGCTTTTTCTAGAACTTTCCCTGGATGGGGCTATGAGGTGCTTACTCGAGACCCGCATTTGCTCTTGGTTCCGACTCCCTCCCGGTAGGAGTCGCTCTTGTGGGCTTTCTGAGGTACCCCGAGTTCTCCCACCTCATCGGAGGCCGATGCGGCGGCGTCGGAAGGCTTTTTTTAGTTCCTGCTCTCGACCCGGGGGGAGGCTGCAGGTTTTCTCTCGGCTCTGTGGGAAAGGCTCGGGCGGGAAGGGCCTCCTGGTTTCCCCGGGAGGGGGTTGTGGGGGCGCCGCGGCTCTCGGAGAAAGTGCGTTACCGAAACACTGCCGCCCCGGGCTGACTGGGAAAGTAGTGGGCCCGATGGATGTTGAGAATTTTCTCCCGTCTTTATAATCTTTCCTAACGCTTTCCCAGTTGAGCAGGCATAAGGAGTTTGCTGAACTCCGTCGGGAAAGGAATTCGCCGGAAAGGTGGCTCTTAATGCCCATTCCGGAGGGCAGCGAGTAACTCCGTGCTGGCAAATGGGAGTTTGTTAGGCCTTTGAGCACGGTTGGCCATGTCTCCCTGCTGAGCTGAGCCCAGCTTCAGCCAGTGGCTCGAAAACACTGGAGTAGCTTGCTGGGGTAGAGGGTAAAAAGTGGCTGCCCAGCTCTCACAACAGCTTCTGTCCCTTTTGTGTCGTTTCAGGAAACAACCTCGCATCTCACTGTTGGAAACCTTCTAGCAGCACGATGAGTCTGCAGTGGACTGCAGTTGCCGCCTTCCTCTATGCGGAGGTCTTTGCTGTGCTGCTTCTCTGCATTCCCTTCATTTCTCCCAAAAGGTATGGCCTGTGGACCAAGCAGACAAGCAGAACGGTGACTGTTGCCGAGCCCGGTAGCTTCTGCATGCAGGGTTGGTAAGACCCTGGAATTGGGGCCAGGTGGAAACTGGCAGAACCTGTCTGGGGTTGAGGTGGCAGGGGTTGTGTTTATTATTGTCAACCTTCCACACAGTTTTGCTTTGTCATATCTTTTTGAATTCCTTTCCTGTGCGTGCTGCCTTTTGGCCTTCAGAATGCTCCAAGAGGGAGAAGATTTATTTCTAGTTATGTTTCTGGGAATGCTGCCCTCCGCCCTAGGGTTCAGGGGGTGGCAGTATGGCGTCTGGAAGGCTTGCACCATGGGGTCATGTTGTAGCTGAACTGGTGACTTCTGTCCTCCCAACCAGTCCCACTGGCATTGCATAGTAGCCTCATGAGCATTATCCAGCCTGTGAGTGGTGAAGCCATATTCCTTTTAACGAACAGAGGATCTGTTCAAAGTTAATTGGAAATTAACTTTTAATTACACATAAAATGTGGACACATTCTGATTTTAATTAGAAAATTATAAATAAGGCTGAACCTTTGTTAATGGTTTTAAAAACTTTTTAAATAAAAATACAGATCTCTGATATGATAAAATAGGAAGTACATGTAATTGTCTAAGAAGTATTCTTGTCAAAAGCCAGATCTGAACCTCTTCATGCCTTACACAATTTAGAGGAAATGTAGAGGAAGAGGCCCTTTTGGAGCTGCAATCTGGGCAGCTTTGTAGGACAAAACCTGGTTTCTGCAAAAAGTAGATTCAGCAAGAAGACAGGAGAGGGTGAGGAGAGATTGAGGCTACTTATCAACTAAATGCACAGTCAGAACTCTTGACGGTTCTGATTCAGACAAACCAGGTGTTAAAAAAAAATTGCAACAGTTGGACTTGGGGACTCTGGCTCCAATAATGAGGGATTCTTTTTCATTTTCTTGAGGTCTGGTGATAGCACTGTGACGGTGTTAACCATTTTCAAAGACGCTTTTTTTTTTTTTAAAGATTTTATTTATTTATTTGACAGACAGAGATCACAAGTAGGCAGAGAAGCAGGCAGAGAGAGAGGAGGAAGCAGGCTCCCTGCCGAGCAGAGAGCCCGATGCGGGGCTCGATCCCAGGACCCTGAGATCATGACCTGAGCCGAAGGCAGCGGCTTAACCCACTGAGCCACCCAGGCGCCCTTCCAAAGGCTTTTTACTGACAGTTACATCCTGAAGTATTTATGGAAGGAAATGAGGGAAAGTCTTGGGTCTGCTTCGTAATAATCCAGGACAGTGGGGGTCTAGATGAACCCACATTTGTCATGTGGAGAAACCGTTTGAAGAAATAATGTGTATATGGCAAGCATTTTGAACATTATGTAGATGAATGCAATGGAAAGTTTTCCGTCTCCCTGCCTCTGAAGCTATAGTACGCTGTGTGAGAATTATTCTTGAATGGTAATATGAAGGAACATTTTTGTTTCCCTCCCCAGAAACTATTAGCGTTTTTAAGAGTGTGGGTTTTGGGGTTTTTGTGTATGTGTGTGTGTATGTATGTGTGTGTTTTAGGCATCTCTGAGCATGGACAAGCATTTTTTCCCCCGCACTCTTGACCCGATGTCTTAAATTGGAGAACTGCAGGCACTTGCACCTGAGTCTGTTCAAGATCGCCATTGCAGAGGAGTGCAAGACTGGCTTTCTGTTCTCGGGGCCCTGGGTCTGAAGTGGATATTTGTTTCTTCAACCTTTTTGTTTTCTTCACAGATGGCAGAAGATTTTCAAGTCCCGCCTGGTGGAGTTGGTAGTTACTTATGGCAACACCTTCTTTGTAGTCCTCATTGTCATCCTTGTGCTGCTGGTCATTGGTGAGTGAACCATGGCTGAGGGCAGCTGTGTGCCCCAGACCCTTTGCCACAGCATGGCCTCTGCTGCAAAGCCCTGTGCCGTGTTCCACGTGTAACCTACGAGTTGGACTTCTCAGAGACAGACCCCTTCAGTGTCTTTGTCTTCTTGGGAAGAGGGTTCCTCATCCCCAAACAGAGTACTGCTGGCTGCTAGCCCAGACCTTTACTTTGACCAGCAGACTTTATGCACCCTGTGATGACCACTTCCCTTTCCTGGACTGGCTCCTCACATCATTCCAGAACTGAAACCAAGAGAAGATGGGTCCATGCTGAGCTCGGTTGAAGCAGCACTGCTCTTCAGTCACGTGGACAGTCTATGCATAAGGGACTGAGCGACCAAATGATTAGGGAGCAGGGCTGGGTAGGAAGCTGCTGTGTCCCGTAGCATAGGGGGACCAAGAGGCCTGGCAGCGTATCCCAGAGCTCTCTGGATTGGGTCAGGCTCCAGGTCTTTCTGGGTCCTTCTGGCTGTGAAGTTCTATAAACACTAGGTTGAGGTGCACACCAGCCAGGCTTGAAAGATAAGCCGGTCGCAGGGCATGCTCAGAGATTTGTGCCTGGGCCCTCACGGCACTAAGATGGAAGGCAAGCATTTTGTGATGTAGTTCGGGGAGAATGTGCAAGGCACTATCCGCTAGCTGCAGCATTAGGCGTTTTTCCTTCCTCATGTCTTGGCACCTGATGGGATATGTTCAAGCAGGACTTCTCTGAACAGGCCAGGAGCAGCCTACCCTTACCCAGCTGTGTAGGGTGGGTACCAGCTGCTCATGTATGCGTGCTGTGCTGTTCTTGAACTACTTGGCAGGGCCCCAGGAATTAGCTCCTTCCAATCAGGGTTCCTTCTCTGAGCGGTCCCTGAGCGAGGAGGGGATAGGGAATGTATGTGTCATCCTTTGGGCATTAAAAAACTAGGCTTTAGAGTTTTGGGATGGAGTTTGTGTGCTTTTGTTTTTGGGTGTAGGGTAGGAGCAAAAAATTGGGGTGGGGAGGGGCTATGCCGGGGTGCTGCCTCAGGGCCTTGCCCCTGTCTACAGCCCCCATAAGCTCCCCATTTCCTAGCATAGCCAATGAGCCGGGGAGGTCCTCTGCAGAACCCAGGAGTTGGCAAAGGTGCCATTCTTTTTTGAGGTCAGGGAAGCTCTTGAAGTTCTAGAGAGACACTGGCTTTGATGACTGGCTGCTTCCTACCATGACAGTAAGAAGCATAATCTAGAGAGGTCTTTCGAGAATTCTACAGATGTAAATGTGAGCTAGCAGGAGATCCAGGTAAAACATGGTGGGTGTAGCT